TTTACTTTCCTATTTTTTTTATATAAGTGATAAATCATTGTACAATTAAGAGATACTTTCCTAATTCTTTACTATATCTAATTCCTTGTAAAACCCTCATATGTAAACTCCTATATATACCTCCTTATGGAGAAGAATAAAGTACAACCTAATACATTCAAACCATATTCATATTTTAGCAGTATGTGCTTCTAGGTTTAAATAATAATAAAAAGTGGTAGAAGATTTTTATTGAGAAAACTCCAAATCTCAGCAACAATAATGGAGGATGGGGATGGGTGGATTTGAGGGAGGAAGGGAGTGCTGGAGATGAAGAGTAGATAAAGCGTGAGACTACAGACGAGGATTCTAGGGTTTTGTTTTTTCTTTTCCATTTTATTTTTGTTTTTTTAGTTGATTATTAAAAAGTAAAATAAATAAAAATAGAATTCACATGTCAATATTCATTAATTGACATGACATGACCACATCAACGACCACATAAGATGGTCAGTTAATGTAGTCAATCTTGTGTGTCTAAATAGTGTTACTGTAAGTACAAAGAGTAAAAAGATGATATATAATTTCAGGATATAAAATACAAAAAGGATAGACATTAGAAACATTGGAATATTGAGCAATATGGTGGCTAGTCTTTATTTAATCTCCGTTGAAGAAATAAGCAAGAATTTTTTTAATTTTAGGTGGTAGTTTAAGTTTGGTCATTTCATTATTAGGCCAATTTTAGCATGACATATTATATAATTATCCATATATACCTTATTTGGAGGGAAAAACCCAAAACTAGCCACTTGTCATTTTCTAATTTATTTTAGAAATTAAAACTAATTAGAAAATAACAAGTGGCTAATTTTAGATTTTTACCTCCAAATAAGCTATATATGAGTAATTGTATAATATATCATGCTAATTAAAATGAACTTATTGCTAAAAACCTATTTAAAGTTTCCAGAGTTTAATATGTGTACAGTTTTTTTCTGAACCCATCTAATATGTGTTGGAATGGGCACAAGTACTCAAATGCCGAAATTCATGACCAGCTAGCCGATTAATTTTTATTTAATTTTGTTTTATTTTAAATTTATTCTATTTATTTTATTTTAAATTTATTCTATTTGTTTATATAATATTGGTTTGGTGCTGTAGGGAGAGAAAATGACCGCACCGAACACACTTTACCAGCCATATATATGAACCCCACGATTTAAAGCCTCCAATAACATGTGAAGCACTCCATCAGTTGAAAATGTTAACAAAAATAGTGTAGTGCAAAGCACGTAGTGCCGCGTTATGTTATTCAAACCCTCAGTATATATAAGCACGCCCAACCCACCATCCCTCATGCAATCCACACACACATAGAAAAACAAAACGAAAGAAAAATTTGGCATCATGTCTTCCTTCAAAGCCTATGGCAAAGTCAATGAGTTGGAGCAATCCCGGCTCGACGCTCGTCGGAAGACGCGGAGGAGAGTCGTCATCATAAGCCTGTCCTCCATAGTTCTTGTGTGTGTGGTGGTTGCTGCTGTGGTTGGAACCACCATTCATAAGAATAACTCTGGTGGCAAACAAGGCTCAAGCCTCTCTACTTCTGTGAAGGCTGTTTGCGATGTGACCTTGTACCAAGACTCATGTTATAGTAGTCTTGGCGCTCTGGTTAACTCCACCAATGCGAAGCCTGAGGATCTGTTCAAGTTGGCGATTCGAGTGGCGATCAACGAGTTGTCGAAAGCCGCAAGTCGTTTTTCGGGTGATAGGATTTTGAATGGGACTTCCAACGACACATTGTCTAAGGCAGCTTTGGAAAATTGTCAAGAGCTTTTGAGACTGGCTTTGGATCATCTCAACGACTCGTTATCGGACGACAAGTCGTTGTTTGATGTGTTTGATGATCTTAAAACTTGGCTGAGTTCTTCAGGCACTTATCAGCAGACTTGCATTGATGGTTTTGATGATGCAAAAGCAGAACTCAAGGATAAAATTGCCAGTTACTTGAAGAATTCTACCGAGTTAACTAGCAATAGCCTTGCTATTGTCTCTTGGATTTCGAAAGTCGTTAGCTCTGTGAAGCTAAGGCGTTTATTGACACACCCTGCAACTACAGCTACAGCCAACTATAGCGAGGGTGTGCCAGAGTGGCTGCACCCGAGGGACCGGAAGCTACTTGAGAGTTCGGATTTGAGGAAGAAGGCAGACATTGTGGTGGCGAGCGACGGCAGTGGAAAATACAAAACAATTCATGCTGCACTCAAGGTTGTCCCTGATAAAAGCAAGAAGAGAACAGTCATCTACGTCAAGAAGGGGGTTTATTTTGAGAATGTGAGAGTTGAGAAAACCAAGTGGAATGTCTTGGTAGTCGGCGATGGATCCACCGCAACCATCGTATCTGCCGGCCGCAATGTTATCGATGGAACTCCCACATTTTCGAGCGCCACATTTGGTAAATTTTTATGTGCTAACAATTTCTACGTTAACATAAACTATTTGTACTTTATTTACTGATGACCTCTCTTTAATTTTTTAACTCATGTGAGCGATGTGCTAAGCAATGTTACCAATAAATTCTTACATGAAATTTTTTTGTTTTGTTTTTGTGCAGCCGTTTTTGGGAAGGGCTTCATTGCTCGGGACATTGGATTTCGCAACACTGCCGGAGCAGCCAAGCACCAGGCAGTGGCCTTGATGTCGACTGCTGACCAATCCGTCTTCTACCGGTGTCACATTGATGCATTCCAGGACACTCTCTACGCTCATTCCAATCGCCAGTTCTACCGGGAATGCAACATTTATGGAACAGTTGATTTCATATTTGGGAATTCAGCAGTGGTGCTCCAAAACTGTAACATAATGCCTAAGAGACCCATGGCTGGCCAACAGAACACCATCACTGCTCAAGGGAAGATTGATCCCAATCAGAACACAGGAATTTCAATTCAGAATTGCTCCATTTCGCCTTACGGCGACTTGTCGTCTGTCCAAACTTATCTCGGTAGGCCTTGGAAGAATTACTCAACAACTGTGTACATGCAGACATTCATGGGAAGCTTGATTAACCCAAGTGGATGGCTGCCATGGGTAGGCAATACAGCACCCGACACCATATTTTACTCCGAGTTTCAAAATTTCGGGCCCGGTTCTTCCACAAGGAATAGAGTTAAATGGAAGGGATTGAGAACCATCAACAGTAAAGAGGCCGGAAAATTTACAGTGCACTCACTTCTGCAAGGAAACAAGTGGATCTCTGATGCGGGTGTTACCTATAAATCCAACCTTTGACCAATATATTTGATGGTTTCATGGGAAAACTTGTTTCTCTGTTTTTCTTTTTTCAATTTATTTTCTGCTTCTCTTTTTTGATCATGACTGTTTTGTCTCCCTTATTATACTTTCCGATTGTTCTTGCACAGCAAATTTGTAATACAACTTTTTGGCTTTGATGGAAACTAAAGTTCAAGCAATAAATACAATCAATACAAAGATTTATATCACTTGGAAGTTTCAGTTCTCTATTTGAGTAACCCTCCATAAAAGGGTATATCTGTGTCAGGCAACCAAGTATCACCAAGAGTGAAATTAAGGACAGTAAAATTCACAGCTTGTGAAGCATTCATCAGATTATAACCAGGCCATTGTACTCTCTTGCTCGTATTCGCGCCGGGCCCGTGGTTCTGAAACTCACCATAGTACAGGGTGTCCAAGCCAACTGTCCCATTCCATTCCAACCATCCAACTGAACTGATGAGCGGGCCAATATAAGACTGCATGATAACAGTCCTAGAATACAACTTCCAAGGTCTTCCCAGATAATTTAAAGTGGAGTTGAGGTCCAGTGCCAAGTCTGGTGCAGCTTCAATTGTGCAGTTGTGGATGGAGATTCCGGTGTTCTGATTCGGATCAGATCGTCCTTGCGCCGTGAAGGCATTTTTCTGGTTAGCCATCGGCTTTCGAGCGTATAAGTTGCAGCTCTGGAAGACAGCAGTAGCATCCCCAAAAATGAAATCCACAGTTCCATATATATCACATTCTTTATAGAATTGCCTTAGGGAATGTACATATAGTGTGTCCTGATAGCCTTCAAAACTGCATCTGTAAAATGTGGAGAGGTCAGCATTGTTTCTCACAGCTACTGCTTGGTGCTTCTGAGGACCAGCTGTGTTCCTGAATGTAATATCTATGGCTATAAATCGTTCTGCAGAAACAGCTGTAACAGGACAGAGTTGAGTTTTAGAATAAGCATGATCAAGTCAAACATATACTTCAATTTTAAGGTGTTCAGAATTTTCAAATTTTTTATACGTTCACTTTGGAGCAATGCTACATGGATCCTGTAGCATTTTCCTTAATATATATGCAGTTTGACTATAAATCTACTCACATCTCAAACAGAAGCGGAAACCACTCGAATGAGAAAAAATTGTGAGGCGTACGTTGCAATGTTAAGTGGCAAAATAGTCAAATTAAAAGATGACATATATCTAAAAACTTAAAAAATAAAAATCAGTATCTAACTTTTTAGTCACTCAACACTGCCACGTAACATTAACAGTCTGGTACAAGTTTTTAAACTGAACTTTGGAAAGGGAAGAGTACTAGCACAAGAAATGTGATATACTCACCAAAGGTGGAAGAATTGAAGGTAGTCCAGCCATCAACAAAGTTATGGTTTCCAGTAATGACAGTCTTGTTAATGCCATCGCCAAGCAGCATTATGTTGGTCTTGTGTTTGGGGACCACGAGATACTCCTCATAGTATCCTTCTCTGATATAAATCACAAAATATCCATCTTCAGCCTTTGAATTATTGGGAGCAAAAGCAATGGCTTCTCCAATGGATGTGAAGTTGTCCGTACCATAAGAGCCCACAATCACGGTGTCATTTACTAGAATGCCACTGCTCTCCATTTGCTCAAGAATTCGTTCCCCTCTTTGTGAAGCAGTGGATTTTTTGGCAGGATTTTTCCGTAGAGCCTGCAATGTATTTATCTCAAAGTGTTGCATTAATTCAACCATTGTTTGACGTATTGACGAAGATTTAGGTTTATTAAACGTGTTCACGTGCTGGACAACCCCAGTTATTCACTGCCAACCAAATGTCAAATGTGCTCTCACATACCCATTAAAAAAATAAAGAAAAATTAACAAGTTAAAAATGCTACAGGACAAGTAAAAATAAGAGATTTTCTATTTAAACCCCACACTTCTCTTAGTTCACCCCATGTTCTAAGTTCACCTCAACTTTTAATTTAAATTTTCACAATTTCTAAGTAAACCCTATTATCTTCCCAAACTACCCTTAAATACACCCCAAGCTGAAAAAATAAGAAATAAAAGAGATTTTCTATTTAAACCCCACAAGCCTAATCGTAGTAGAAATAAGAAATATATAAACTTCATGCTCATCAAATTAAAAGGTACAAAACAAATTTGATATCTTTCCATACAATGGTTATCCCAAGCCTAATCGTAGTAGAATCAATATTCAATTCATTCTTATATACACTTGGAATGACTAAGAACTTTCATCTTCAGTCCTCGCTCCAGTCATGAACAGGAGCAGTTACATTCCAGCTCCAGTCATGGAACAGAAGCAATTCATTAACCTGGAGGCGTTGTCGTATTTAAGGGGAGAACATAAGCTTTTCCAGCTCCTTTCACTTGCTTAAATCTGTTTGGTACTT